TCTCACTGCTTGTGGATAGAAGCTATTGAAGAATCTAGTGGTAAATTGAATAATCTAGTGGTAAATTGAAGAATCTAGTAGTAAGTTATTCTTACGACTTGTAAGTTCTCATTGAAATAATGGAGTTCTCTGTCATCATTCACAGATGGCAGGGTGGCGTGGTGGTTAGCAATGGAGATGAAAAGAAGCACAAAAAACATTATACTGTACCAATGAAAGCATTTCAAAGGAGGGCACTGAAGTATTAACGAATAAAGAAAAAAAGAAAATACTTACCTTTTTGATTTTATAGGAAGGAACAATGTAGAGTCCTAGTGTCATTTGAGATATGCATCCACTACACATTTGAAGTGGCATGATGAGCTTTATCAGCACTTTTAAGGGTGTCTCACCATACTGTAAGAAATGCAAGCATCTGCACTGAAAGAAACCATTGCTTCACTTCCAAAGCGCGATTTTATTTTTTTAAATAACAGATTAAGACATGGAGATGAGTATTGCACATGACACTTACAAGAAAACACCTGCATCAGTAATGTATTCAGCACAAAGTAATCAAACTTTTCTAATTATCCTGGCTATGCCAGCCAATTAGGCATGATGCACCAACAGCTCTGCAATTATCTCAAATTACAAGTCATTTACTGATGATTAACTAATGTTTTAATTACATTTTTTTGTTGTTGTTTTGTGAAACAGCACTCACAGGTGCTTTGCCCATGTAATTTGTTGTTTATTTGTTTTCCATAGTAATACCAGTCTTAAGAAGCTTAAATCAAGAACCACTTGACCCTTTAAACAATACAGCCATGTTTTTAATTAGATTTGCAATGAATTCAACTGTTCTAAGCAAATTACAACATTTCTTAAAATTTCACTGAAGCAAATGATAATGATGCAGGCCTCTATATTAGCAGCTGTATCTTTTGGTATGTTTTTGCATATGTTTAGCATTTTGGACCCTAGAAATAGAAAAAGAGGCATATACCATCAGTAATAATGTACAAAGCAATCAAAACCATTGAGGTAAGGCATATGAACATTATTACGTTATGTTCTAAGAGAAATCCATGACTATGAATTATTGGAAAAAATAATAATTCCAGTTTAAAATATATACATTTTTATTTAAACACATCCAAGTATTTAAATGTAAAAAACAAAAGATAAAAATACTGTATGTATCCTCAATTGCTATAAAATCTGGAGCGCAATTCATGTTGGAAATTGCACAGTATATTGTTGCAATTCTGCTGTGTATTATGTGATTTAGTTGCTCTGCTTTAAACGACTTTTGTTTCCTCTGGCAGTGTTTTTAGCCATTTTAGCCATAGTTGTTTCCTCTTGTGTAAGAAACAAATGAAATCAGTTTTCACTTGTGTATTTGAAGAGGCCATTTGTGGACTATCCTTGGTTTGATTAGCTTTCTGGATGGATTTTTTTTTTTAAATAAATGCAAACTGAATTCCAAACCCTTATGAACCAAAAAGATGGGAACCTTCTGCCCATTTTTTCTCATGATTTTATATTTGTCTTTTTGTTGCATTGAAGCTGAGATAAGCGTATTAACATATACGAGAGAGCTTAGGTACCTCATTTGCCAACCAGTGCTCAAGGCCCGGCCCAGCTTATTTTTCCTAAGCCACAAAGTTTCAGTTTCCTAAAATTAATCTTCATGCTGAAGAAGTGCTGCATGTAGATCAGGGGTTTTTTTATCTGGCTTTTTAGTATGTTTTTTTTCCTTGTTATCAAAACGTTCTTGATGAGATTTTGTATTACTCGCGAACATACTGTATAAAAGTTGCAGTTTCTGAAAATCTTGTTATCCAGCAAGTTGTTTTTGCACTGTTAGGATATTTGCTCTGTCTGTCTTACAAAACCTCTAAGACCCACTCCTCACTCACCATAAGACATACCATGTATAGTAACCCTACCCACACATATAGTATCTAAGTGTTGCACTACATGTCCACAGGAAGCCACATCATCTCAAAAGTCAATCCCATTATTTAAATAACATGTCATTCATTACCTGCTCCATAGCATAACTAAATTACCACTAGAAATGTATTTCACATCCTACCTACAGGGTTTGAGTATGCCAAGGTGCCCTCATTATTTATGATGCCTATGTCATTTCAGAATAACAATGAATCCCTAGAAAACATCACTGTAGCCAGTTCACTTTGTAAATAATAAGCTATGGCACTGTGCAGAGACTTCACCCCACCTAACACAAGGTAAATATCAGTATTTAACCTGTCACCCTGGGCATGTAACCCTAGCTTTAATTAAAGAGTCATAATGTGTACATCCCTGGACTGAGTAGCAAGATTGCGCACCCCTGATTAATTAATTTCTCATAGCCATATTTAGAAAACTTTCATTATTAGTGTAGAGTTAGCACTGTTCTGTAACTTCTCACTTTGGAAATGAAGCCAAATTTGAATATATTGGTATCTTCAAAAGAAAGGGGTGGGATATCTCAGCTCTGTGCCCTACATAATTGTCACAGTGTACTTGCTTTGAAAAAGTTCTGCTTTGATCCCCAAAGCAAGCAACATCGCTGGGAAATACCTGAACAGCTGAAAACAAGACACCCTAACAAAACAATTTAGAAAGCAGGAGAAGTGATGTTATAAACATATAATTTCAGTTTCTTCTAACTCAGGATCTGTTGTATTTTAGAGATACAGTATATATGTACTATAATAATAATACTGTGTATTTATATAATCATACTGTATATTTATACTGTATATTTAATACTGTATATAATAATACTGTATATTTAAAAATAAGAAATATTTTATTCTGTAAATATATGTATAATAATACATATATTTACAGAAAAGGTTCAGGTGAGTTTTATATAATATTTCACTGAAATCATTTCAATAAAAACATTCTTAATAGCCAAAACACTAGGAAGGAACACAAAGAAAGATATATCTTCATTTAATTTTATTACAATTCTACTTCAGGAAATCAAATGGTAATGCTCCTCTTCAAATATGTTGCAAAAGTGAAAACAAATTCCAGTGCAGCCCAATCACTGATACCATGAAGTTCCTGAGAATTTCCTGCTTACGCCTGTATATTACCATTACTGAAGCCATCACCAGATTCGAGGTGAACAGATTAGATGGGAAGAAGTTAGATATTGTAACGCAACGGGGGCTCAGGCGGGCGCCCTTGCCGCATCTGGTCGGTCCCATCCCGACTGAGGCTCGAACCCGGGACTTCCGCGTCTCTCTGCAGCGACCTAGCCCCGTGAGCTAAAGAGAGATCTCTCCACAGCCCAGTAGCTGTGGTCCTGCTATCACAGGGAAGGGCGGTGACGTCACCCGCTCTGGTACGCCGGCTCTTACACAGTGCCTGTCGGCCGTAAGCGTTACAATATATTCTAATGCCTTTTATCTGCAGCATCATTTCAACATTTGTAAATATGTTGTTTTTTTTATGTAGTACAAGTCACACAATGCTTTCAAGCTTTGTACCACTATGAAGATTGTTAATAACTGGAGGGAAGGAATTTTCAAGCACAGAGGCCTACTTACTGTCCCCTATATGGTGCTTCATCTTCTAAGATACTGTGGAGCTGTGGCTGGCAGACCTGTCAGAAGAATACATGCCTGTGTCTTCATGATCTGTGTGATACAAGGAGTGTAGCAATAATGTGAGGTGGTAAAGAACAGGAGATTCCAAATTGAGAGCATTAACTCTGGACAGTGAAATTAATAAAAATAATAATAATTGCTTACACTTCTATAGCGCTTTTCTGGACACTCCACTCAAAGCGCTTTACAGGTAATGGGGATCCCCTCCACCACCACCAATGTGCAGCATCCACCTGGATGATGCGACGGCAGCCATAGTGCGCCAGAACGCTCACCACACATCAGCTCTCAGTGGGGAGGAGAGCAGAGTGATGAAGCCAGTTCAGAGATGGGGATTATTAGGAGGCCATGATTGGTAAAGGCCAATGGGAAATTTGGCCAGGACGCCGGGGTTACACCCCTACTCTTTTCGAGAAACACCCTGGGATTTTTATGACCACAGAGAGAGTCAGGACCTCAGTTATACGTCTCATCTGAAGGATGGCACCTGTTTACAGTATAGTGTCCCCGTCACTATACTGGGGCATTAGGACCCACATGGACTGCAGGGTGAGCGCCTCCTGCTGGCCCCACTAACACCTCATCCAGCAGCAACCTTATTTTTTCCCAGGAGGTCTCCCATCCAGGTACAGACCAGGCTCACACCTGCTGAGCTTCAGTGGGTTGCCAGTTGTGAGTTGCAGGGTGATATGGCCATTTACCAATGGTCAAATTACCATTGCCAAGAATAATATCTGAAAGCTGGAACTGACAACCTCCCCTTCATACACACCATTATTACCACCCAAACGACTTGATTACAAACCCAGTCTTTGTTGAATTGTTCATGATCTCTCTTGGTTACATTTGTAACCCTGGCCGAGTGATTACCAATTGCAGACACACATTGTTGTTGCACACCTTCTGGTCACCTGGTTACCGTGCACCATTGCCCATGGGACCAGATCAGTCAATCAGTCATCATCAGGGAGGCTTTTCATATTTTCCATCTTGATGAACAAACTGCAACAGCGCAGCCAAGTGGTGTTGATCTACAGTATGATGTCACTATAGTTCCAGTACCTGTCTGGCTTATGGGTTTCCCATTTTGTCCATATCTGTTTCACATACAGTATGACTAACTTAGACAATTTAGTAGAAAAGGATAACTATAGCCATAAAGAGTAACATGCTCAATGGTCACGTCTGTCTATACTGAAAACAACTTAAAAACTGGGTTTGTAATGCTTAGCATCTTGAGAAATAAATGAAATACTTTAAGGAAGTATTATAAAGATTCTGTATAAATTACAGTCTTTTCCAGCAAGTCATAGGCACCCAGGAGTTCAATTACCAAGCTCAACACAGATGTACTGTAACAAGCATCTGTTTACCTGAAATATCCCTGGAGAGCTTTAAGTTGCCTTGAACAAATAATTAAGAGGTATTATGTTCTCAAAGGAACCTGTCTTCCAATAGGGTTGTTTGCTGGCTTGGCTTATGCTTTATTCCCACATTCAAATGCAAATCGCCGATATACTGTGTGTATCAGCTTGCACAATATAAAATATATGATTTAAGTCAAGAATTAAATCTAAACAGCCAACCATAGTTAAAACTACATCCTCTATATTCTAAAGCAGAAATGGATTAAATTAGCTAGTCAAGGTTACCAGCCTTAATGTAATATTTTGAGACGATTCAGTTTAGGAGGTCTCTGTTTTTTTTTTTTTTAAGCCTTGAAATGGCTTTATCTGCAAAATTTTATTTTCTGCATCATTAAATGTACTGTATATATGAGCAATGTCATAAATCCATA